TTGTTGGAATAATATTTGATTTAAAATGCGATTTCTATCAAAAGCACTAATGAGAACTACCCTGAAGAATTTAAAAAACTTCTTCTGACAGTTGTGACAACTATTCAAAACTGAACAGCAGCCAAGTTTTGGTCGATTTTTGTTGATTCTCCATGGAAATGTATGTGGTTTGGCAAAGTGCCGTGAGAAAAAATATTTCTCACAGTATGAGCAATACATGGTTTTGAAACAAAGTTATGAGAATTGCGCTACTTTTCATAGCAGTAGTAGTAAAAGTGTTTTTCTGAATAGTCTCGAATTTACCATGTCTAATGTTAATGTAATAATATGTTCTATATACAGGGTGAGTCAAGAATATGTAGCAAGCTTTCTGGAGGTAATAATGCATTGAAAAATAAGCAAAGTTTGATGAATGGACAAATGGCCCAAAATGTATCAAGGGAGATATATCTCTCCAAAGTTGATGGAATTGAAACTATTTTCCCGCGGAACTTCTAAACGGTAATAACCACCAGATTGATTTTTGCTGCATGAATGTATGTTGATAGAATACATTTTGCTGATACACTCTTACTTTCCTGATATTGTTATAAAGGGTGAAGCATTCGATAGAGCGAGAAAAATTAATATACCTAGGCCTCGAACTTCTCTAATTTTCGTTTCAGAACATTCTTTTTCACGCAATCTTTGCACAATCCTAGAAATTGTTCTATCGAATCATCAACTTGTCTTGTTTTCGGGATACAGGGTATCATTATCTCCATAGAAAATCATTTTTTCTATTCATTATTCAAATGTCTTATTATCAAATGGGCCTGTTTGGGTGAAAAATTTTGTTTCATTATTTAGAAGTACTATTTCACTGTCGCAAACCGTTTCTTCCTCCGAGCTCTGTGACTTTTTCAAATAATTATTGGAATTCACGATACCTCATAACATGAAAAAATCAGGAAAACGCGTTGACGGAATGATTCGAGAACACCATATAAGATTCGACTCACGTATCAATTCACTATTTCTGATAAAAAATATTTCTGATTGTCATTTCAATCAGAATATGGAATGCATTATCTGGATTGAATACTTTCTGCAGATAACAGAGAACACAACACACAACTGACTAATCAGATAATAAGAGAATTATCTTTGAATATTCGTATCTTGACGATGAAGGTAACATCCGATATTAACGTCAGGAAGTTAGGTCTTCTGTGAATGTGATTGCCATTGTCATTGATCATATTGAATCTCATAATATGGTGATTACTAGTTACAAATCTGGCAGCGTCGAAATATGTGGTCCTACTTTTCATGCGGAAGCCAGAATTCGGTTCATGACGTCATCGAACCTGGCGTTTTTCAAAGTCGCCAGAATTAATTATTGAAAAAAATTGAGATGATTTTAAATAACGAATCGAATACTATTTATACACGGAATGATCTGTATAAAATAGGTTTGTGGCGTAAATTCGACTAGTGTGTACAGGGTGACCAACTAAGAATGCGAGGTACTGTATCTAGGAAACTATCCATCGTAGGGACTTTTTGTATTACTAAAACGCCCAAGAGAAAATCCTGGAAAATATTTTCAAGTTTCTCAAATGACCGCTAGGGTGCGTAACTGCAATCTTGAATCTAAAAAGAGATTTCTCGGTGAATTCCGCTGTATTAACCTAACAACCCCATTCCATGAAACTTGGTGGTTTGGTTGATAGTGACATGGAGCTTCTTTTGGTGTTATTTGATTCAAAATAATATTCTCCATTGGCGTCACAGATGATTGTATGCCACTGATCTCACTAGGTTCCATATTTTCATTAGACTGAATAGGCCTGTTCGTTTGTATTGCTAACTTGCTAAAGCTGATTCTTCTCCCATAGTTGTCTCTGTTCATGGCATGATGTAAACAAAGAAAGTCATAGAATCATTTCGAAATTTGGAGGTTTAGTCAGTCCCCAATCATATTGAATTTTGACACCATGAAAGCTCATACAGGGGGTTATAAATACTAACAATTTATGCTTCCAACTTCAACATGAATATCTCAATAACGAAGCAAGTTATTAGGACACATGTTTATATGAACTTCATTTCCTAATATACCACAAGGAATCACATACTGAAGTTTGTCACACTTATTCACTAACACCCTGAATAGGTCAAACAGGTAGAACGTTTAACCTTCGCATTCACTTATATTATATGAATTTTTAGAAAAAGAAAACATTCAATATACGCTAAGTATGAAAAGGGTGAGTCAAAATATGTACCCAGCTTTCTGGATGTGATTGTATATTGAAAAATAAGTATAGTTTGATGAATGAACTCATGGTCCAAAATGTGTATTAGTCCTTCCAAAGTTGATTGCATTAAAATACGTTTTCCAGCTAACTTTTGAATGGTAGAAGCTACCAAATTGAAATTTCCATGAATGTGTGATGATGAAATACAGTTTTTTGATACACTTCTACATTTCTGCTATAGTTATAAAGGATGTTTCAGAGGGTGGGTCATGATTTTTTGAAGACAACTTTTTTCCTTGTATTCTTCTCGGAGAAAAAACAGAAGCATCTGATAGAGAGATGAATATTACTTGAAAATGGTCTAATCAAAATACAAAAAAATGTAACCGTTCTCGAGATATTTGAGTTTTTGAAGACATGATATCAGCAGGTAAATTCATCAGTCACAATATTTCAGTAGGCCTTGAACTTCTTGACCGGACACCATCTTTATTTTTCGTTTTGAAACATTCTTTTTTCACGCAATCTTTGCACAATCCTCAGAATTGTTCTAGAATTTGGAACGCGTCAAGCAGGAAACGTCTCTGCATCACGTCATTTCTCAAAATATCAGTTGAAAATTGCAGTAATAATATAACGAAACAAAAAAAAACGAAGGAATTAAGAATAACAATCTTGATGTCATAGAGGTCAAAAATGCGCTACTTATGTTCTGCCTCAAAATTGAGAACATGGTCATTGTTCCTGAAATTTTGTCACCGATAAATTGATCTGCTGAAATCATGTGACTAGACAACTCGAATACGGTTGATTTCCTAGTATTTTGATATTAGTACCTCTTCTATGTAATTTCCTTCTCGCTTTATAAATAAGAGCATTCACCAAAACTTATGCAGGAAAGGAGATAGTCTTCAAATAATTATGATATGACCCACCCTTCGGAAACCCCCTCTATCAGTATAGCAGAAATGTAGAAGTGTATCGGAAAAATGTATTTTATCAACATACATTCATGCAGGAAATTTCATTTTGGTCACTTTTACCGTTTAGAAGTTATGGAGAAGAATTTTTTTTTGATATCTCCCCTAATACACATTTTGGGCAATTGGTTCATTTATCAAACTATACTTTTTATTCAATATTTTATCCTTCTAAGCTCGATACACATATGTGACTCACCCTTTTATAATAAAAAAATATATAGTTTTCATCTCGGTTTCGATAACAGTGTCGGAATCTTACATTTAGAGAATATAGAATGAAACTCAATCATTAGGAATCATTAGCAATCAATAAACGCAAAAATTCGTTTTATTGAGAATTTTATAGAAATCTGATCGTTTGTGAAGTTTTTTACATTTTTATTCGAGATATATTCTTGATTCATCGGCACTGCCACCAATCACTTACCACTTTCTCTGATGGACAGAATATCTGAATATCAAGTATAATTATCAATTTGTTTTTGTAAATATGAATCGTTTCGCCTGAAGCCACTGAGGGGAAAACTTTGAATATTAGAAATATTTGCCCAATCTACAGATGGTGTAATAGTAATAATAATGTACAAAAAATGCACTCTTCTATTAATGAAATAAATAAGAAACTACAGGCTTCACACACGATAGAGCATCAGGAGTTCAACTATGTCGAGTTAATGGAAATATTGTGAAAATTCACCTCGTATTTTAATGAATAGGTTGAACCTGCCTAAATAGAATAAACAACAGTTATCGATGATGTGTGCAATTGAATAACAGGTACCTATTGTAATGTTGTTGTTTGCATCACGAAAAAATCGAATTAAAATCAAATAAAGAAATAATTTCTGCATAAATGTTTCAACATCTATAACATTACTATAGCTGACCCGGCAAACGATGTTTTGCTATATACATTATTTCTAGAAAATAATTTTTCAGTTAAATATTCAACAGCACAGTTTTATTATTTTATTTCTACTTCTTTTAAATTTGACTAACCATCATGAATGCGTGTTTTCTTAGTTTTTTGGACTACTATTTATTTTCTATTCACATGTCATTTATATTGTCAATTCATTGTACAAAATATAATTGTATCCAAACATTTACGATTATGGGAGGCAATAGCCAATTCTCAATCTTTGTCTCCTGATGTACCGAGCAGTACCACAATTATAAATAACCGGTCATCACCATTAAATAATGAGGCACAATCGATTTACAATAATTGTTCAATTGTCATTGACAAATATTATAATGAAGTTCAGATGATTGCGATGTTTTTTAATCAATGAAAGGAGATGAATGTGCGTAGAAAAAGTATAGTACGTTACACGAGTTGTAAGCTTATTACGCACACATGAATTTTTTTTCATTTCGTGCGTAATGGGTTACTTACAACTCTTGTTACGTAATATACTATTACACCTTCATTGAATTTAAAATACTTGAGAGTAACATTATTTCATAATGAATGAAGGTTTCATGTGACTTTTTTTAGATTTTCCTCAAGACTGTAAACTTCTATTTGTTCCACATGTTCTCATTGAGATTTTGTGAAATAGGTTTATTCAGAACAGATAATCTTATGTTTTGTACTACGATACAAATAAAGAGAACTTCAAAACTCATTGAACTCCACAATTTTTCAGAATTAACTTTGTGGCACATGAATCATCTATTCACTAGTGTCTTCAATTACCCCCCCTTTGCCTTGAAACTGTTTATTTATGACCGCATACGCATTAATTATATGATTTTGTTACAGGATAAGATGGAACATTTGGTTTTTTTACTTACTTCATGGCTTTTTAGCACATGTGCAGCTTACGAGGTGAGTGGACTACCTTCACAAGTTATTTTTAATTTTGTTTTCCATTAGTCATCCTCAGATTCATTCAGGTATATTGAATTATACAGAGTGTCCATGTAAAGCAAGTCAGTCCATTAATATTATATTCCTTGAAAGAAATATGACTCACCATCGTTTTATCTGGTACCCATCCTTAATATACAGAGAGTCAAAGTTTCATGTAATAAACCATTTTTTCTGCAACCGACACAAACGTCGTCCATTTCGATGCCAAAATTAGCTTTTAAATTGACGTTTGTATTACTGACACTAAAATAGGTATGTTGCTAGGCAACATATTTAGTTCCTAGGAGCTAAAGTTGAATTTTAGTTCCTAAGAGCTGAAGTTGAACTGTAGCTCCTAGGAACTAAAAATGATCTACTGGACGTCATCAAGAATAAACAACATTGTGACGGTTGGTTATTTGGGTTGAGACGCATATAATGATTTTCTTTCCGATTTCAGCAGATTTGGCATTCCATACCGATGCTGGAGATATAAATACACCTTATTATAGTTTAGTATTGGAATTATGATCATCTCAGTTAAGTATTTTTGTTTTGATCAGGGAAGCCTTCAAGATTCAAATACTTGCTTGATCTGTATTTCATTCGTTATTCTCGGGATGGATAACTTGTTTTTGAATAATCACGACAAGCAATAGTTTTTTGTCTCGAACAACGATATTGTTTACCTTCATTTGATTATCAAGCGAAAAACATTGTATTATGGAGAGGAATAAATAATCGCTATTATTATTATTGTTGATATGCTCACTAACCTAACATTTTCCACGTCTTGTTCCTATAGCAGCGAGTATAGCAGGCACTGGCGCGGTATTTGCCATTAGAGCACCTGGTCCATACACAAATATGTCACTCTGTGGTTGTATTTATATTGAAACTACAATTCGAACATCCTAGAAAACCTAACCTGCTGTTAATGCAGGTAGAATATTCTCACCACATGGATTATTTGTCAATATTTGTTGCATTGCATACATATGGCACGGCATTGGTGGTTACTTCACAAGTTTATTTGAGTTAATTGTTTCGGTTGCAGAAAAAATAGCATGTTTCATTCGGATCAAAAGTGACTTTGTTCGACTCGCAAATTTTGCTTTAGCTCGGCTTCGCTAAACGCTCTGCCTCGCAAATTCAAAATTCGCTTGTCAAACAAAGTGTCACTTTTGATCCTAATAAAACAATCTACTATTTTCGTGATAACTCGCTTTTCGAATACGATACCGATTTCAATGTTTTTTTATTTCGACGTCGTCGTCGAGGTGGTTGAAATCCCTTATGGACATCATTTCGGTCTAATCCTTCATTTGATAGTGTGAGAGTCCCCTGACTCCAGGTATACCCACTAAACCCTCCACCCCGTTTGTAGGCCCACCTGAATGAGTGGCCCATTGTATCTTACCCACATGCCGTTATCAATTTTACCATATACGAATCTTGGTGCTCATTAAGGGCCACTTCAATATGGAAGACCCTTTTCGTTCAGATTCCTGAAGATTACTCTTCCGATCCCTGTACTCGTCTACGAAGAAGGCCAAAAGTTTTCCTTCTCCTACGAGTGACGGCGGAAGGGTTGGTCCGGCCCTGTGGTGCCCCCTGCACAGGGCTAAGGCTGTTTACTCTGATATGTCGCCCTGTTTCCCAGAGGCCCCGTTTGCGACACCATACCTTGGTGCCATCCATCCGTCGCCACGGGTTTCCATAGCTTGGATTAGGTGGCCAGCATATACGTATTAATAATCAATACGGATAATCTCTATCTGTTTCCATAGCGAAACATGAAGCCGATTTTTGAAGACAAATGACTATCCATAAGGAAAAGTTTTGAAACGATCAGACACATACTGCTTTGATTGAAAGGCTAGTAAACGTCATTGTCCACCGAAACGCATGTCTTTGATGACTACTATAATAGCGCATGGCGCATGCGTATCATGCCACCAAATCCTCATGGATATTCATTTGTTTCATATTTTTGGCTTCATCCTGGCACCCGTTATGATCCGTATTGTTTATTAATACGTATATGGTGGCCAGAGGCTTGTTGACTAGTCCTCGGGCACCTAGACAGATATCAGCAAATCTCCTCATCCTCACCACAGATGTCCAAAAATTATTGTCTCATCTGGCCCGGAGATAGCAAAGAATGTCCCAAAATCCTTCATCTGTCGAGCGGCCGCGGTCTGTCTTCCCCACACCACTTGATGGTGAGGTTGGGCTTGTAGGGCAATAGAAGAAGAGAAGTTGGCCAAGGAAGGCCGATGGGATAGATTGGAAAAGGAAGAGATAAGAGGATTTCACCCAAGACAAGTTGAAGTTTGGTGAATATCCGGCTAGTGTACCTCGGGTTGTGCTTTTATAAGCTCGGTTTTCAAGAACGCGTCAATGACTTCCTAATTATCTCCTAATGAGAATCACATTTTCACCTTTTGAAAAATAACTATAAATTGGTCCATTTTTGAGATAGTATTTTTCCGTTAGCTGCATTCAACCATATACGAGGACCAATACTTCTCTAATTATCTGTAAGATAAATCATTTCACCGATATTCCATAAGAGACAAAAACTAGGATTTGAATGATCATTTTGAAGAAAAAGTGCAATGATTGAAAAATATACAGGTGACGAGTGTGAGTATGCTTACCCACATTGCTCGTTGAATAGAAGCACTGTACCTAAAAAATTGGTCAATAATCTCACTGAAACGAAAAGTAAAAACAAAAACAGTGGATAACTAAAGGTATTTTTTTTATCGCTTGGAACGCACGAAAGGGAATCCCTATAATGTTCAAAGAACATCGTGCGTTCCTAGGGAGGATAGGGACAGGAGGTAGGTATTGGAATGTTTTTTGAACTTTTGGAGATTATATGTTGTTGGGAATACTTCCATAGAAGTATTTGCCAAAAACTTGTGCTCCCTTCATAAAAGAAAAAAAATTCATTTTACTCGATTATTTGGGATTTTCTCCTCGTTTCTACAAAATAAAAATATGAGTATTATTTCAATATATGTGTAGTAGGAAAAACCAGATGATTTGCCCAAAATGTCACCGCGTTGAACAAATTTTTCTATCAGGAAGCCTAAGCGAAAAATCCAATAGCTTGTCAGCCACACTTTGTTTGGAAAAAAGTTTGAAGAGGAGGAATATAGATGTATTGAAATAATATCGACTTTTTCTTAGCTTTGGACGTTTCGGGAACAAATCTGCTCCCGTTCTCAACATAAAAATGTAAAATATTTTTCTTCGAAAATTCTGTTCTAGTTTGACACTTTTCAGTGTCATACTGATGTTGACATATGGATGACTGAAGATGTTAGTATACATTATTCTGAACGGAGACAATATCATTGCTTCCTGTTCAGTTGATATAAATATATAGATAGAACATTGTATTCACTACTGAAATCTGAACATGAAAATGGTAGATTCAAGTCAATCTACTTTTCTGCCATGTGAAACATACAATTGTTCCTCCAAATGTTATAAAACCAATTTTGTGGATTTTTTTTGCTAAAAACTCCATCATTTTGTGTTCACCCAATGTGAGTGTCAATTTTGATTACCAATTCCATTCAAATTACTTGGAACGTTGCATAACAGCAAATGTTTTCTGCCTAGTCAGAGAAAGTACATCACTTTTGCTACCTGTTAAGTGGCATAGAAGAGTTTACTTTCTATGCCGTTTGGAGAAAAATAACTATTTTCCGATTGTTATATACACGAAAAATCATTGTATTTTTACCTTTTATCGCAACACGTTAGTTAGGAGTCTTCTTCCTAACCATGGATGTTTCCGAAATTTTCGTAAAAAAATTATTTTTGAGATATTGAGAAGTTCAAAGTTTACCTGGAACTTTTATAAATCATTGATCATAGGATAATAGCCGAACCCAAGCGTTTGCTTTCGGCAAGTAAAAACTTCACAAACGATAAAATTTCCACAAAATTCTTATACACACAACATGTTTCGCTAACACAGTATCTTCGTCAGGTGATATACTGGTACAATGAACTAAACCAACCTTGGCTTGCTTTACTTTTATATATCCTACTTTCCCAACTTGAAGGATTAGTTACCTGTGGACAGGTATTAGCTATCAACCCTTTCAAGTTAATCAGGTGCCGCTTCTACTCGAAAGTAGCAGTAACTTCGATTTTTCAAATGGGACACCCTGGCTGCTTCCTGAAGAGCTGATTTAATCGATTCACAAAGTTCGGGGTCTAGTGGGACTAATAATTGAGATATTTAGTGAGTGAGAAAAATCGAGATGTTTCAACTTTAGAATTATTTTGCGAAAATATGTGTTATTGATCAAAACGGCTTTTATGTCCCTATCTTAACTTTGTATCTATTGACATTTAATCGAAACAAATACAGGATGGTTCATAATTCAGATTTCTGCACCACCCTGTATTTGTTTCAATTGATAATCGAATGGAAAGTTGAGATAGGAACATAGAAGCCGTTTTGACCATGCAATAATAAATAGTTTTAACACAAAACATTTCTAAAGTTGAAACATCTTGATTTTCCACATCCTATATCTCAGTTATCAGTCCCGCTAGACCTTGAATGTTTTGAAACGATGAATTCTGCTGTTCAGCAAGAATCCAAGAATGTAATGAAATACAGGGTGTCCCATTTGAAAAATCGAAGTTGCTGCTACTTTCTAGTAGAAGCGGCAAGGCCGGATCGTTTCAAATATTTCAGTACCTAGTGTAGATTATGTTAATTTATACATACCATCGAAATTTCAGATTTATCCGTTGCCTGGTTTGCCAGAAACATCTAATTAACGCTTATCGTGAAAAGCCCTGTATAGTTTTGATGACGGACCTGGTCTGGAACAAAGAACGATATGAAATACTCCTTCTAAATGTAATACTCACGTATACTGAATAGGAAGTAATAAAATTAATAAATCTCGTCTGATTCCAATTTTGTACCCCAAAAT